ATCTTCACTTTGTTGGGCATGAGAAGCGGCCGCCCGTTGGGCCTAGCACCTGGTTCTCTGGTACTGTGCCACAGTATTTTCTATGACCTTTAGTCAGCTTCAGTCTTGGAATACTAGGGAGGACAGCTGTTTAGAACATTTTTGTCACTTTTGGCTAAAGTGGTGCCATCAGCAATAATAGTCACAACAGTCACAGCCTAGAAAATGACAAAGTGAGGTAACCATTAATTGGCCACCTTTAACCATATGAACTAAATTTGTGGTAATATACCAAAATCTAAAACAGATCAGAAAATTGTATGCAGTATAAAGTCCTTAATATGTCAGTCTTTCTCTCAGGGGTTAAAGTTTAAAAGAGATTCAGGAAAAGCTAGAACAGGGTTGGGGAGATGGTTCAGCCGCCTGCCTGTTAAGCGTGAGGTCAGGCCCTGAGTTCAGTCCCCAGTACCAAAAAAAAAAAAAAGGAACGCTAACTTTGGGAAACTAGGACAGAGCACAGGAGGGAAAGAGAAGGAAGAGATAAAAAGAACAGAACCACAACCACAAAGAGGCTGGAAACCACATTCATACTCATATAAAAGCAAGATCAAACAGTGAAGGAGAGAAAGAAAATGATAGCAATGAACAAACAAGAGAGACTGATGGATCTGTCTGCTTCCAGGTGTGTCTGCTATCCTGGTGGATGGTGTGTAGAGACAGAGTCTGGGTCCGTACCTGTCTGTCTCAGCAAGCCAGTCGTAGCTTTTTGTTAGGTAGGGTAAGTGCAGCGAGCCCGCACCTTCTGGCTGAGACCTGCGGCCATCAGCACACTTTCTGTGGGCCTGAGCCCAGCTGGGAGCCACTGGATAGAGCGCACAGTAGCGCTGAGTTCTGAGTTCAGTCAGCCCTTCTGACTAGCTCCCAGCCATTTCTCTCTCAGGTGGGCTGGCTGGGCCCTCAGCGCTCACCACCAGCTAGTGCAGTCCTTCGCATCCAGTACTCCCTTTATCGCCATGTCTCCGTGGAGGCGCTCACCAGCAGTCACTGTGTGGCTGCAAGTTTGAATCGCTCTTCTCTCTTTTTTTTTTTTTTTAAATTAATTAATTTATTTATGTGTGTGTGTGTGTGTGTGTGGCCAGCTCAGCCCACCAGGGGGCGGGGTTGGCTGGCATGTGGTGTTGGGGGATCGAACCGTGGTCCCTGTGCTTTGCTAAGCTTGTTCCAAGTAGGTGCTTTAGACCACTGAGCCATCTCTCCAGCCCTGAATCGCTCTTCTCATGCAGTGAGTTCCATCTCAGGGAGAAGGCTGCCTTCTTCCTCCTGATTGAAGCTTTTCCTTTCACTCTCTCTTGTTTTGTGTTACCAGGGATTGAACTCAGGACCTTGTGCTTGCCAGAGAGGCTCTTATGCCACTGAGCTATCTCCCGGCCTCACTCACTGTGGGCTTGAATTCATGCCTCAGATTTTTCCTGGGTCCAGGGGAGCTGCTTCCCTTTCGTCCTCCATGTTCCAGCACCTGGACGGCAGCACCCAGAGAGGCGCTTTCTCTGCTGCTTACTCTCCACCATCCTGGTGCTTCCCTCAACAATACCTTAATGGAATCTTTTCCTTTTTCCTTCTGGAGGTCCTAAGGATGGAACCCAGAATCCATGTGAGGCTATACCCCTAGCTCTTTGATTTTTTTTTTTTTTTTTAATTGAAAATTTGAGACAGGGTCTTGTTAAGTTACCCTGCCTGGAGACTGGGTGTGGCGGCACATGCCTGTAATCCCAGCTCTTGGGAGGCTGTAAACAGGCAGATCACTACAAGTCCAATCTAGTAGTGAGACCCAGAACACCCTGTAGACCCTTCCCTAAAATACAAAAAAAGTTACCCCAGCTGGCCTCCGAGTTGTGTTGCACCATGATGACTGTCTCAGTCACCTTTCTCCTGTTGCTGAGACAAAATACCTGACACCCAAAATTAAGGAAAGGAAGGCTGGCTGGGCCAGGGAGTTATTAGCTCAGTGGAATAAGTGCTTGCCTGGCAAGCACATGGTCCCAAGTTTGATCCCTGGTACCACTAAAAAAAAAAAAAAAAGGAAAGGAAGGCTCATGTAGCCCACAGTTTGTGGAAATTTCAGTATATAATGAGCTGTCTCCAAAGCAGGGTGATAGGACACAGCTCCCGCAGCTCATGGTGGCGGAAGACAGCAAGGCAACAGTGGCACAAAAGGTGGGGGAGGCAGGCCTTTTTTCCTCCCTTATATTGTATGCAGGCTACCTATTGCACTCACACCATCTCTCTCTTTTTTTAAATGTATTTAGTGCAGGGTCTACAGGGTCTCACTACACAGCTTGGGCTCCCAACCCTCCTGTTTTCAGCCTCCCAAGTGCTGGGATTACCGGTGTGCCCCACCATGCCCAGTCTCAATCTGCATTTCAGCATGCCCCAGGGGCAGGACTGGCATGGCAGATGGGGGATCGAATTCCTGGCCCCAGCATCTGCCTAAGCAGGTACTTTAATCCATTGAGCTATCTGGCCGGCCCACTTACACCATCTCTTGTGAGCTCTTGCTCAGTCTGAAGATATTTATAAAGAGAAGACCCTGGCCCTCTGTTGACTCGAGCTGGAAACACTGTAACTGCTGAGGCCAGGGCATGAAAACAAGAGGTACAAGTTTAACAAGCAATTTTCAAGAGGCCCCCCCATGGCAGCATGAGTCTTTGGTGAGACATCTAGACATAAACCCTAACAATGACTAAAATAGCAAAAAAAAAAAAATTTTTTTTTGGAGGCCCGAAGATGCCTTTAGGGCATTTCTCTTTTGCCATGACTATCTGGGTTCGAAACAGAGAAGCTTGAGCTTGAGGGCTTTGTTTAAGCAGGCACTTAAACAACTGAGCTTAAAATAGCAAAATTTTGAGCTGAGCTGAATCCTCTCATCCCAGTACTTGGCTGAGGCAGGAGGACCATGGCAAGTTTGAGACAAGCCTGGGCTACAAAATGAGCTCAAGGCCAGCCTGAACTGCAGTGAGACCCTGTCTCAGGAAGATGATAAATACCCTGTACAGATTCAGAATTGAAATTTTTCCTTTGCCATGCCTGGGTTCTGGTGCACTCAGTACTGATCTTGTCTTCAGTGAAAACTGGCATTTTATTCACCCCACAACCTGCTGAGGGAATGCACCACTGGGCACTGATCAGAATCCTTGCAGTGGTGACAGGATGTCTCATCCACGCCACTTCCACTGAGTAAAAGACCTTACAAAGAAGAAAGGTTTAGGGCTGGCCAGATAGCTCGACAGATTAAAGTGCCTGCTTAGGCAGACGCGGGGACCGGGATTCTATCCCCGGTGTGCTGTGCTGTCCCTGTCCCTGGGTGTGCGCTGAGGTACAGACTGGGTGTGATGGTACACACCTGTAATCCCAGCTCTTGGGAGGCTGTAAACGAGAGGATCACTACAAGTCCAATCTGTGTAATGGAACCCTGTAGACCCTGTACTAAATACATTTTTAAAAAGGTTTAAAAAAGTTTTATCATGGTCCCAGCCCTGCAGGTTGGCCTCCTCTTAAAGGTCCCACACCTCATGATACAACCACCCACACTCTCCCCAAGATCCTGCAGGCTCCCTTGGTCTGGGACAGGGGCTTGGGGCACAGGCAGTAGGTTATGATCAGTCCTGCCATGATATTCATGCCTGAATTTCTGGGTGTGTTTCCGGGTCTCCCGAGTTCACACTTCGGAGCAGAGGTGCTGGGTCAAATGATCCCAGCCATGCCATCGCACATAGTGCCCACATACTGCCATGCTGTCCGTGCTGAGAGCACTAGCGGGTATGAAGTGACGGTACTGTGCATGTTTCAAACACATCCCGGACATGCCTCCAAGGATTAGGGAAGGGCAGCAGGCTAGCAAGAAACCCGAGTAGTGCTCCCAGCTGGTGCATGCGACTGGGGCAGGACAGGTGCATGTGTAGAGCAGACAGGCACCAGGCTGAGGGGTCCCCCACCAGGGACAAGTGCGGAGGTCTGGTGCTAATTGTCCCCTGGCCTTCAGCAGCTGTCGACCCTGGAGGGCGGAGGGTAGGCCCACACACAGGTGGGCGGGGACCACTCTGAACAAGGGGCAGGAGTCTGTGCCTTGCTGGGGAAGTGAGAGGCTCTGCCCTGGTGGGGACACCCGGGGACTAGGTTGGCCAGGAGAGATGAAGCCAGTCACAGGCTGCCTCAGGACAGCCCAGGAACTTCGGTGCGACGTGCTTTCCATCAAAAGTTGTGTTGTCACCTGGAGACAAATGTATTGAAGCAGTGATTCTGAGCTGGGGCAATGAGGGCTCGTGAGATGGTTCAGTGGTCTAAAGCACCTACTTAGAACAAGCTCAGCAAAGCACAGGGACCGCGGTTCAATCCCCCAGCACTACATGCCAGCCAGCCCCGCCCCCTGGTGGGCTGAGCTGGCCACACACACACACAAATAAATAAATTTTTTTAAAAATTGAGCTTGGGCAATGGGGCTCTGGGTCGGATCTTGAGACGGGGGTTGTCATAACTGGGGAGCATCTGACACAGGGCAGGTGGAGGCCAGGGATGCTGCTTAGTACCCTACAGCACCCGAGATGCCTCCACAGAGACTGGGCCCCCATGTTGAAGGAGACTCCCATTAGACGCCCCTCTGAGTTTTTGGCTTTGAGAGCTAGGGACATGGGAAATGTACCTTGATTGGCCATGACAGAAGCTGAGGGCCTGGAGTGTCCTGTATGGGTTTGGGCTAAGGCCTGTTCTCTGGCAGGGGCATGAGCTCCTTCATTGCCCAGGTGCTCTCCTGTGCTATGAGCTGGCACTTAGGGAGGGAACACCAGTTCATCCCAGAAGTGGTTACCTAGGCTGTCTGCTTCCTCGAGGCTGTCCACCAGGCTGAGCTGGGTGACGGGGCACCCTGTGTCCCAGGCTGTGGTCCCCTGGCTCTGGGTGCCAGGTCTTCATGGGTTGGGCTCAGGGCAGTTGCTGTGGGCAGAGCTCCTTCACTGCTGTCTCCCCAGGTGAGTGGCATCAAGGCGCTGTATGAGTCGGAGCTGGCTGACGCCCGAAGGGTCCTGGATGAGACGGCCTGTGAGCGTGCCCGGCTGCAGATCGAAATGGGAAAACTGAAAGCTGAGCTGGAGGAGGTCGCCAAGAGGTAGAGTCTGTGCTGGGTTCGTTCCCCCAGAGGCTTAGGCAGCTTCCTGGGAACAGGCCGGCAGGTCTTGGGGGCCAGGGGATGCCATGGTGGTTTAAGCAGAAAACGGAGGTCTCAGAGTGACGGCCTGGTCTTTTCCTCACACGCGGCAGCAGATGGATACCTAGGCACAGCCCCGCTCCCCTGTGGTCACATGTCTTTGTGTGTCCCTGTCAGCACATGTTCAGTGCATTGAACCAGTGGGGTCATGGTCACTTGGCAGTTCTCATGGTTTTCTGCTGTGTCCCCTCTGTCAGAGACCAACCTTCTCCTCCTTAGCCTTTCAAGGAACCTGCCTGACATGGCATGGGATGCTTGCAGTAGCAGCAGGAACAACTGCTAGAGTGGGCTGGTGGCCTCTGACATGCAGCAACACAGTGCCCAGGCACCCAGTCCTCCGCCCAGCCTCTGGCTTTGGAAGCCCCTGTGGGTGACTGCTGCCCCCTGCTGGCAGGAGGTCCCGAGGCCTTCCTAACAGGGCTGAGCTGGATCTTGGCCACCTGGCGTGGTGACATGCATGGCAGCAGCGGTGGCCTGAGGAAGTGCTGCCCAGGTGACCCGGGCTCCATAGGACCCCCATGCTGGACTGTGACCAAGTAGTGACCAGGGCCGCGTTTCCAGCAGTGTCAAGGCCCCTGGGAGCCAGCGCCCTGCCTGTGTGGCTGGGAGCAGAGCTGTCACAGTGGCCGCTTGGGGGGACCGGGTGAAGTCAGCCCTCCCGCCTGGGTGGGCTCCATGCAGCACTGTGGCCCTGTGTGGTTAGTGAGTAGGTTCCAGGTGCGTGTCAGGACAGGGACCTGGGTGTGGCTCCCAGTGAACCCTTCGCACACGGGTCCCTGGCTGCAGCCCCAGTACTTGAAATAGCTGCTCATACAGGGCTCTCACCTGGATGGAGAGACATTCTTAGGCCAGCCTGGTGCTCAGAGACGCTGTCTCAAAGTAGAAACTAAAAGGGAATGTGTAGCCAAATAAATAAATAAAATGGGGCATGTAGCAGTGGAGAGAGCTCCTGGGTTCCGGCCTGGTGGTGTGAGAGCAAGAAGGCAGGGCCTGACCAGGTGCTCAGATTCCTGACCTCCTCAGGTCTTCGGAGCAGTCACAGGCACGGTGCTCCCGGCCAGGCTGACTTTATCCTCCTCATCTGTCCAGTCCCAGTCCCTTTCACGACGGTTCCAGGCAGTGTTTTTTTGTTCGTTTGTGTTTGTTGAGACAGGGCCTTAGTAAGTAGTCTAGGCTGGCCATGAACTCGCTGTGTAGCCCCAACTGGTCTGGAATTCATAGCTATCCTCCTTTCCCAGCCTGCTAAGTGCTGTGGTTACCGGTGTGTACCAATATGCCTAGCTCAACGTTTTCTTTCCTTTTTTTTTTCCAGTACTGGGGTCTGAACTTAGAACCTTGGGTTTGCCAGGCAGGTACTTATGCTGCTGAGCTATCTCCCCAACTTTTTTTTTTTTTTAGTTTTCCTTCTAACAAATGAATTGCCAGAGCCTCGTGGTGACAGGCAGGCAGGCAGCCTGTGGGGACCTCGCACATGGTCCTGGGGAGCTTTTGTCGGTCTGTGAAGAATCTGCCTAGGCACCCTGATTCCCTTAAAGAAGGTGTGAAAGCCCATGGGCGTTAGAGCCATTCTCCAGATTGACAGAACCCTGGCATGGGTGAGGGCCCCCAGCCCTCTGCTTCTGTCACCCTGGCCTGTTTGCTGACCTCAGGCCTGCTGGGCAGGTGTCACCAGGCCTGTGCACTGCTATTGCCTCTGTTGGGCACACACTTCTAGAATGAAACTGCCACAGCCCTGTCCACGCCCCCATCCTGCAATTTCTTCCCCACAGCGCCTCACCTCTGGCCCTGTGCGCCTCCTCCCCACGCGGGCTCCCGACACCCATGCCAGCACCCATGTCTCTAGAGTGGTGGGCAGCCTCAGGTGTGCTGCTGGCCCAAGAAGCCGCCTTCCCCAAAGCCTGGCCTCGGCACAGTTTGCAGACCACACCCCATGGCAGGTCCACTGCAGAACTCAGGTGCAGCCCTCCCAGCTGAACAGTGTCGCTGCTGTCAGTCAGCTCAGGAACATAGCTGTTCCCACCCCAGGACCCTCCATGGAGGCCGATACTGTGCTGGACACAGCGCCGTGTCCCTGGGGCTCTCGAGTCAGCTCTGTGGTGACATCGCTGGTCTTTACCCCACTCAGCTCATGAATGCTGATACGGGATCCCCAGGTGTCTGAACCTAGGTTTACACCTTCCCCTGGGACACCTGTGGCTGTCAGGAATAGGGATGTTGCTGGCCTGGAGCAGGTGGAGGCCAGTGATGGTCAGCGCCCCACACTGGCCAGGATGCCCTCACCATGAAGGACAGCTCAGCCCATTTGAGGGGGGGCCTGGATGGCCCATTATTGCCTAAGGGGAACCCAGCTCCCCTGAAGGAAGGGAACAGTGCCCAAGTCTAAGATTATCAAGCCTGGGAGTCTTCACAGCCCAAGAGCTATACCAGGATATTTTTGTTTAAAAACTATTATATCAAGTACATAGTTGGTAGAAATGGGAACCTGCCTGAAATATCTTGTTTACAAACAAGGTCACCTCCAAGCAAAAAAAAAAAAAAAAAGATATTGCCATTAATCTCCCTCAGAATCGCCCCCTTGCTTCTAGGACACTTGTCCCATTGTTCTTCCACTTTTTTTTCTTTCTTTATTTTTTTTTTTTGTTTTTATTTTTATTTTTCAACAAATAATACACTGCATATATTCTTCTTAGTGGTTAATTGCTGTACAAGATGCGGACTTGTGATCCTATTTACAAACACCATTAGAAC